TGACTCTTAGTTTAGAGATAAGGCCAGTAAGGAGGTCATTAAGGTTACATGAGGTCATAAGGGCTGGGGTCCTTGATGGGATTAGTGAAGAGACACTAGCAACTGAGTTCCACCCCACCCGACCCCCATGTGCAGGCACAGAGAAGACTTGGCCTGTGAGCACAGAGTAAGATGGTCGCCATTTGCAAACAGAGCTCTCACCAGAGGGCAACCGTGCTGGCACCCTGGTCCTGGAGTGCCAGCCTCCAGTATTGTAAGATTAGTGATTATCTACGGCTTAAGCCTTCCAGTCTCTGGTATTTTGTTTTTGCGGTTGGAGCTGGCTAGTACAGTCATCATGTTTTAATTTTCATAATCACTCTGCAACAGGCTTTATGATCCTAGTTTTCAGATGAGAAAACAGAGAATCAGAAAAGAGAAGGGATTTGCTCAAGGGTCATACAGCCTCTAAACTGGGGCTTGACTGGGCAAAAGTGTAAACCCATCTGTCAAATTGTTATCTTTCCTCTCTCCCAGTAATAAAGTTGTTTTTTGTTTTTTTTTTAGTTTTTAAGGAGATGCTTTTTTTTTTTGGCCAACACGATGGGTTTTTAAAGATTTCTTAGAACATGTTATTACAAAACTTGCCCAAGGTCCCAAAGCTGGTAAGTAACCGTTTTGTAAGTTTCCAGATCCCGGCCCTGAAGCGCATGCAGTAGGAAACTCTATGCACATGGTCATTAAAATGAAGTTAAGATAGAGTGCAAAATACCAATGGAAATGCCTCTAAGATCACGTTAAGTGAAAAAGCAGGGCAGCCCTACAGCACACTTGAGGAGCCACTGATGATTCTGTGAGCACGTGGACCCAGGACAGCCTTTGACCTGATTCACTGGTGGTCATCACAGCTTGAGACAAAACTGCTTCTCAAGAACCACAGGGAAGCAAGGTCCAAGTCCTTGCTGTGGAGTTCCGTTCCTACCCAAACTCTGGGAGTGTGGGACGCAGCAGAACAGTCCTCTAAACCAGTGGCTCTCAAAACCAGCCTGCATGAGAAACACCTGCAAGGCTTGTTAACTCACAGATGGGCTGGGCCCCACGTGCAGAGTTTTTGACTTAACTGGTCTGGAGCAAGGTGGAGATTCTGCATGTTTAGCAAGTTCCCAGGTGGTGCTCACGCCACTGGGCTGGGGACCACATTTTGAGACTCCTGGACTAAGTCCTGGGCAAAAACCCCTCAGTTTCTGATAGCATCCACAGTTCTGTCTTCACTATGCTGTGTAATCTGGGCAGCCAGCTCTGGCATGATTAAGTTGTCAGGAGAGCTAAGGCAAGATTTATACGACACATTCAGCAGATTCAAAGACCCACTAGAAGCCCAAAGATGCACTTGGGAAGCTGTAGAAAACAGTGGTTACAAAGGTGGGCTCAGAATTAGAATCTCGGGTCTCCCTCTTACTAGCTGTATGACTGCGGGTAAGTTGCTTAAACTCTTAGTTCCTAAGTTTACTTCTCTGTGAAATAGGAATAAAACCTAAACCTCATATAGTTGTGGGGTTAAATGTGGTAACCGTGAGGGCTACATTTGCCTGATTCTTGTTAAAAACATATACTCCTGACTCCTAACCCTGGTCTATCAAGCCAGAATCTCCTAGACATGGTCCTCAGGACTGCAATCTTTAATAAACAGCTAGGTGATTCTTAAATTGGGCAAGTTTTTCAAACTTATGTAGAATTCACCTCAATCTTTGCTCCCTCCACAAAGGCCAGCCACTGGTTTTTTACCATCTGGGTCTCCTTGCAAATGGTAATACCTTGATGGCCTTTATAATGTCACCCGGGACAATTAATTAGTAGATACCCTATAATAAAATTTTGAAAGACATGGCTCTATATCCATAAATAAAAATTAATTTACCTGTGCATTTAAGATTTGTATACATTACCTTTTATATAGTATTCCTCAATAAAGGGTTTTAAAAACAAATTTAAAAAGAGATGACTCTCCTTATTTAGAAAAATGAACTCAGGGTTAAATACTACTACACAGGCTATGTGCCCAAATGCTCATATATAAGGGACACTGCCACATGTATAGAGGACATGGGAAGTAAATGAAAGTCACTTAATAAACTTAAATATGTGGCATGGGAAGCAGCCAAGGAAATGCTAGGGTAACTTCTGCAATGGAAGGATCCAGAATTTTCCTGTCACTTCTACCACCCTGGCAGAGATTTCTCTGCTAGAAACAAACAGCCTCCCCAACTCAGAGAGCCAGCTTTATCTGCAAGGATGGAATAATTTCCATCTTTGGCTGGGGTGAACTCCGCTCAACAGCCTGGAGCTGCAAAAGGGCTATACTTCAGCATGATGACATAGAGAAGGAAGGAGTCATTTCCCTGGAAGTCCTTCTCCAGGCACACCCCGAGGGGCGCAGAGCTAAGCTGGCCATAACCAGTGCATGCACACCACGGTGGTTGATGCAAAAACCAAAAGGTCAGTTAAGAACCTATATTGCCGCAAAGTACATGTCCCTTTGAACTTTGGAGGCAGCAGCATTCCTCCAGGTGCATTTAACAGAGGAGGCCACCAAAAGAGGGAGGGGAGTGATCAGCCTGGAGTTAAGCACATTCTGGCAGGAGGAAAGCTAAGGTGGCAACCCCGGCTCTCATATTTGCGGGCTGCTGCTGCAGAGCACATTACCTACTGCTGGAGGGGATGAAGTAAGGACAAATAGCCAGGGCCTTTATGTCTTGGACATACTCTACCTCTCAGGCAACCATCAAGGATAAATACTACTAGACAGGCGGGGTGCCCAAATGCCCTTGCCATTGTGAGCCTGCAACAGAACTTTTTGGTGCCCCTCCCAAACCAGCTCAGATGCCATTTACTGTGTTTGCGAAGCCATCCCGGCTCCTGGGAGCTTTGCTTTTAAGGGTTCCCATCCATGACTTTCTTTTGTTGCTGCCCAGCGCCCTGCATGCGCAGAGAGCCTGAAGAGCCACAAGAAGACATAGTGCTGGGCAGCCGAGTTTCCAAGGGGGTGTGCAAGTCCAGTTAATTGCCTGAATTGGGACACATTCTGAGATAGTCATTTATGCTCTAGGGCAGTGCTGTCCAACTAAACTTTCTGTGATGATGGAAAAGTTCTAGATCTGGGCTGTCTGAAATGGTAGCCACTGGCCATAACAGCCAAGTAACTGAAAATGTCGCTAGGATAATGAAAGAAATGAATTCTTAAAATTCCTAAGGAAGGCCAGCAGCCTCCATTAACCAGAATATTCAGGAGTGGGGAGAGAAAGCTATGTGTAAGCTTTATTTTCAAGCTGCCTGAGAGTTACCTAGACACTTTACCTTATTCGAACTTTTGTTCCTGAAAATCCTTCCCAGAGGTGTGGGTTCCATTTCTCTCCTTCGTAACTGGAATACCGTGACTGTACCCTAATCGTTCTTTAGTTGTGGGTGTGGGACTCTCTCAGCATCTGCCCAACAGGGCCCATAGACGAGGACTGCAGGTATGCACTGCGGACAGTGTTGGGGTTTGCACTCACTCTGAATGGACTCTGAGACTGAATAGCCTGAATCTTTGAAGGAACATTTTAGGATGTCTGGATTCTGATTGCTGAGGTTTTATTGTAAACATCAATAGTACTTTAATAGCTATTCTGCCAAAGATTCAGAAGCTTGGAAGACTCAGGAATTAAATTACTAATTGTATTTATTTATGAGTGATGTAGGCCTGGTTTCCCAGCCCCTGAAGGCTTCCTCTATTCATCTCTGGGGCCAATAATGGCCGTCTTCGGGTCGCCCTGGCTGTTCTCCATGATCAACCATGACTTGGATCATGAGCAGGAAGTGGGGATTTCAAGGAGTTTCAGCTCCTATTCACTATTGCCATCTTAATTTTGTGTCACCTCTTGCTCTGCTACTGGGTCTCATTCTCTTCCTTGCACCTGAGCCTTGACTATAACCTGTTTGGCACCTCAGTCCCTTCAGAACAGTGAACCTGTCCTGTTTCTATTTCTTGCTCAGGACAGATGCCCAAAAACCTCAGTCCTCTATGCTCTGGCTGTTGGATCAAACTGCCAGACTTTGTCCCACTTTGCTCAATAATTTATTCAACAGACATTTAAGGGCTCAGTATTGCCAGGCACTATGCCAGGGAGGCCACAACACTATGTAGCATGCCTAGCATCTAGGAAAAGAGACAGAGGTAAAAGAGTAATGAAAACTGCTCCCATTCTCATAAAGTACATACAGAAAGAGCTGGCAACAGAAGCCAGGTCTGAGAGTTCTCAGCTACTTGAAGGTGAGACTCAGGTTTGATGTGCTTTTGTGCTCAGGATATTGGCCTTCAAAGAAGGAGGTAAGCAAATGATGCATTAAGATAATATATCGCATGAATAACAAGTGTACATTGAAGGTCCTAAGAAATAGACAGACCCTGGCAGCCCCACTTCCACAGGAAGCGTCCCACTAGAGGAACACATTATGGGATCTCTTGTGCTTAGTGAACTTTAAAAAGCACAGTGGGACATTCCTATATGACATTCTTAGTGCCACCAAGTGAAGACCCTTCTTGATGATTCTACGGGAACTTCAAGATAGTAAACACATGTGTAGAGTTCCTCTCAAAGGGAACAGGATGGAGACTCTACTGAAGGTGCCTAGGCTGGGCCCATCTCACAGATGTTACTGTTCCCTCCTGATGGATCAGCAGTTTGTTCTTTGTCTCTGTTGCCCCATGTTTGGAGGTTTTATTATAAATGTCAATAATACTTTAATAGCTATCCTGCCAAAGATTCGGAAGCTTGGAAGACTCAGGAATTAAATTACAATATTATTTATTTCTGAGAGATGTAGGCCTGGTTCCCAGCTAAAAACATGTGGCTATCTTCTGGAGGAGCTCTCAGCTCCTGTTGCAACAGGAAGTAGTGACGTAATGTGTTGAAATAATTGCAATTGACTAAAATAGTTTCTACCTGCACAGACCTGGGGCCCAAACACAAGGCCATGGCTACCTGGTGGCAAGAAGGGGGCATGTGTGAACTGGGCTGAGCCAGGCTTCCTTCCTCCGCGGCATGCTGTCGTAGATTAAAAGGTCCTTCTCAGTCAGTACGACCAGGGCTGGCTTCCACTCCTTCTCGCTCTCCCCGGGCACCTGGAACAGAAAGCAGAGGACTGTCAACAGCCTGAGAAAAGAGTGACTGGAAAGGAAATGGCATCCCTCCAATCAGAATACCCAACAACAGGAGTGTCTTTGGTTCAAGTTGGAAAATCAAAATGCGAAGAAACCATTCATAATTGTACGATTCTTGATCACTGAAAATATGTTGTTTCAAGGGCTGTGGTATGTATATTCAGTGTGGCCAAGGAGTAGCCCAGTTGCTGAACATCTGTCGCTGTTTCTCACCTGCCAGTTAGCCCTGGAATTTTTATTTCATAGGAGGACACAGCTGCCTGGGGGAATAAGCCCTCTCAGATGGTTCTTGGTAGAGGGCATGGCTTTTATTATGAAATAGTAGAGGGCATTGCTTTTATTATGAAATGGTAAGGTTTGAAGCTGCTGAATAAATACCCAAAAGCTCTGAAAATGTACTATAGAGGCAAATTTCTGTCTGGATAGGTATAAGACATCACTGCCTCCTTCCTCCGTCTTTCAGTCTTAGACTGTTTCTGTGATGCAGGCACCATCCTGAAATTCTCTTGTTCTATTATTGCATATTTAGTTCCTTCATTGCAGATTAGTCTTTAACTGAAGGGCTGAGATGACTTTGCAGGGATATGAGCGGACTCAAACATCAGTTGCATGTTTGGACCACATGTCCTTTCAAGTCCCTGCCAATGAGGAGAGTTGTGCAGCTCAGATCTTATCAGCCATCCCCCTCTGCCCTGTGCTGATCCTCCCAAACTCCCTAAATGTTCTTCTAGCCATGAAAATGCCCTCCTTCCAGCCTGAATACTGGGATAAATCGTTATGCTAGTTTGGAAAAACTCAATGCCCTAGCCTGGCTACTCAGAGCATGGATTCGTGTTCCGGAGGTATCAGCATCACTGGGGAGCTTGCTAGAAATAGTCTCAGGCCCATCCCAAACCTACTGAATCAGAATGTGCATTTTAACAAGATCTTCAGGCCATTCATAGCTCATTAAAGATTAAAAAGCACAGCTGTAGATAAGGTTAAGATCGTCCTTGACACTGGCAATTAATTCAGTGAAGATTCATAACACAGCACCATCCAAAATCTGTTCAGTATTAAAGTAAACTAGACAGTAAGCTGAATAAATGATAAAGCAAATTTCTTCCCTTGCAATTCTTATTGTTACCTTAAATGCCACAGTGCAATCTGTATTGAGGTGGAAGCAAGTGTGTGTGGCTGTAGAAATGAGTGGTCAAAGGAGACGGTGCAGGATGGTGGAAGGGGTGACTTTTGTAGGTTATGTAGTTTTATAGGCTGTCTGAGTCTGAGCCCCCCTCCATTATTTACTGTCTGTGTGACTTTGGACAAGTTATTCTCTGTGCTTCCGTTTCCTCACTGATAAGGACAGTGTTATGTTCAACAGTGGTTGAGAATGCTGACTCTGGAGTTAGAATGCCTGAACATAAATCATGGCTTCACAATGTACTAGCTGTACAATTTGGGGCAAGTCAGTCACCCTCTTTGTATCTCAGTTTCTGTATCTATAAAATGGGGAAATAAGAGTACCTTATTGTGGGTTATTGTGAAGGTTGAGTTAAAATATCTAGAATGCTTAGTATAGTGCAGAACAAGCATTGTTCAGAGCCTGTCAAGTAGCATGTACCTCATACAGTGGAGATTAAATGAGACAGGGCATGTAGTGTGCTTAGCATGGTACCTGGTAATTGATAAGGTCCCCAGTGAAACTTAGGGTGAGAAAATCGTGGGAGACTCACCAATTTATAAACTCATCAAAAAAGGTATTCTTTGGAAATGGCAGCAATATGACAAAGTACTGACTTTCTTTGGGAAAAATTATAAGGAAAATCAAGCCTATCTTTGGTGTTGACAATTTCAATGCATTCTCCTCCCATATTTTCCAAGTTCACTCAGGAAGAATTCATTGTACAATGATGACCTTTATTTTTAATGCCCCCTTCCAAAAATTTTAAATAAAAACTCTCTTTCTAGAAGGAAGATAATTTCCCACCAAAGTTATTTATACTAGAATGTGAATGACTGCCTGGCTTATTTCTCCCTGTATGCATTTTCTGCATATAAAAAAAATCCAGTTTTAGTGTATTGCTTTTTCCAACAGAAGAACAACATCTTCAACAGATCAAAATGAACTGTTAGAGAAGGCAATGTACCACACCCTACAGGTGAACAGGCTGTAGTCTCAAGGCATAAAGTGTTTGGGGGTTTGGAATAAATTTTTTTCAGCCTCTCTAATAAACCTAGTAAATTAGTTTTCCAGCTCATTAAACAGGACTGGAGACGCTGCAAATGATCCTCCCAACGTGCCTATTTTACTTACCTAGTCAGATCTGACCCATTAACTTTGACTGGAACCAGTCATTTAAATTTGAACACAACTAAGCATCATTCTTCAAACATGGTATTAAGTTTACAAAATAAACCTCAATAGTAAATACCAACAGCAAAATACAGACCTTTCTAATGGTGGAATCATTAGACTCTCCACACGTCAACTGGCATATTTAGGTATGAATAACTCCAAATCCCTAAAATGAAACATTTGGTGGTTTATTATGGAGCCCTGTATGGATATGTTAACTCTGCTGTGAGAATACTCAGAGTGGGCATTTTCCAGTGTTTCTGTGTGTAGAGATTTCATTTTAATTCTATGTGAATGCTTGAAGGTACAAGTCTGCCCATGAGGACAACTGACTTTTCAAGGAGAAATATTTCATGGTGAAGAATAAGTTTTTAAAACCACACTTCAGCCATATAAGCTGCACATCGCAAAGCCTTTCAAGAACACTTTTCTTCAAGTTCAAGTGTTCGTGCTGGGTTCAGTGACAGCTTCCATTACAAATCCAAATTTCCTGGTGCCCAAAGATTCACCAGGGTTAATGAAACAGTTCCTGGGCTGTGTCCACATTTTACTGAAGTGTGACTCCTGAAATAGATGTGACAGCTTCCACCTCAATACCAGCTTCCTGCCATCAGATGCTGTAAGCAGTCAGCTCTTCAAGAATTGATCATGTTTCTAATGAAGAAGGTGAAGGGAAAGAAGTAGGGAAATAAATATTTAATTTTGAAATTATTCTGAAGCACAACTAGAGTGAGCAGAATCCTGTCCCTATAATCACTTCTGCAGAGCATGAGAAAAAAGGTTTACAAAATTGCAAGATGAATTTAAGAGAGTGGAGAGAAGTCACTGGTTTGAGGGAAGTAGATATAAATGTGTGAAGTCAACATGTTGTACACCTTAAACTTACACAATGTTATGTGTCAATTATGTCTCAATTTTAAAAACAAAGAATTGAGGGAAGTAGAGTCATTGAGTCCTTGATTTGAGACAGGTCTTACAGGTCATCTAGCAGTGGCTTTCAAACTTTTAAAATTCACCGGACCCTCTGATGAGATTAAATCACAAGTCATAGAACAAACTGTAAACCATTTGAAAGAGGGTTTGTACAGGGTTTCAGCTGGACTTTACGTCTTCATCCTACCACCACTCACAGCTCTGAGTGGGCTTCCTAGCTACCACTGGAATATAGCTTGAAAATTGCTGACCTTGTTTCCTCTAAAATACCTAGATTCTGCAGATCACTTCCACTTAGTTTTATCAAAACCTTTCAATGACTTTATTACATGTATTTTAAAAGAAATGCATTGGTGCTGCTGCCTTTTTGGTAGAGTTGTAAGGATGCAATGAATTAATGCATGCAGAGACTTAGAAAACTGTCTCACACACAGTAAGCAAGCAAGCCTTAAAGTATGCTAGCTATTCTTACTAGTAGTGCATTTAGGTAAGAATAAGTAGATATCAAATGAAAGGCCTGAGTGAACTTGGGAAAGAATTACTTGCTTTGTGGGTCTAACATCCTCATCTGCCAAAGGATGGGGGAAGACTAGATAACTGCAGTCGGCCTCTCCAACTTCAAATAATCTCTTCCAGATTAAAATTCCCTCCAACATGGCTGGGATTTATTGAGTTACTAGGAAGGTTGCTTTATACCTCTTCTTTGCTTAGTGGGCAAAAGACTATGTATAGGTCTCTTTTTCTCCCCTCATGCCAACTCACTCTTCCTAATATACATATTTTCTACCTTCTACTTGAGTATAGGAAGAGCTATGGCAGGAAGAGCTCATAGTCTTCAGAACCAAACAGCGATGTCTTCAGAGTCTGTTTTGGCCACATCTCAGCTTAAGGGGTCTGACCAGATAATTTATCTGCTCTAAACTCTTATTCATGGACGTGTAACATGCTGATAAAGGCCTCCTATGCATATGTTACAAGGATTAAACGAGACAGTATAGTAAACACTTTCCATATGGCAGATGCTGGATATGTTAACTATCCCATCACACAGCTCAAGTCCACTCCCTGCTCCCAGATCTCCTGCTCAGGAAGGATGGTCTAGACGCAGGGGAAGTGACTAACAGCGAACTGAAAATAGCCCGGAAGCAAGGTCAGTAACAACTTTGGTTTTGGAAATCCTGGCTATTGTTAATTTATGTCTTTTCTCCTCAGATTGCTAGGTTTTAGAACAAAGAACAAGATAGCAGGGTGATAATAATTATCAGTTATCAAAGTCCAAATGCTTTACAAGCATTAGATAATGAATCCCTGCACCACCTCTCAGAGGCAGATAAAGATCACCACCACTTTACACAAAGGAGAAGAAGAGTTCAAATGTGGCCACAGAGAGTGCGCTAAGCAAGCCCCACTCAACCTTCTAGCAGGCCCTGAACCACCCCAAGACCCGCAATCAGGAGGCAGATGGACATCTTTACCTGGACTCGAAGGGGAGCAGAAAGGAGAGAGTGAAAGAAGGCTAGAAAAAGAAGGTTCAGAAGAGGGTCTGTGGGAGCCTCATCTCTGCCGGAGTAACTTCTCCCCTCTCCACAATTCCCATGTTATCTGGGCACCTGGGTCACACCCTGAGTTCAAGGGTGGCTTTAAGGGGGCGCAGACTGAGTGATTCACCCTGTCTGATGGATGTCAAGAC